AGCCGAGTTACTCGCTTGGATGATTTTTTGTTGTTGTTCCCTTGGTGATACATCTGAATAAGGAAGTGGGTTTTTTTGTCCCTGTTTTCTTCAAATCTTATTGGTATGGTTCACTTGTTCTGGACCAAATTATCCAGGTAGTGAATTGTCCTGACTCTTTTTTTTCCTGCTTTTTGGTGTCCCTCACCTCTTTAATTTTTTTTTAAATTTATAGGTTATAGAAAGAACGATTTCTCAGGTTGTTAGCAACTCCATCAAAAGTTTTGTGATGGCAGAGACAGTGAAATTCAAAATCTATGACATAGCTGCCTTTTCCAGTCTTTGCCTTTGAAACTCTACCCAGTTTTCAAGGCCCAGCTTAAATACTCCCTTCTCCACGAATGTTCTCTAATTTCTCCCACTGATGGAAAGCAAGTACCTTCCTCTCTCACTTGCAGCAAACTTCTCTTGTGCACACCTTGGGGCACAACCTGTCCTGCCTATATCTCGTCCTCCCTCCTGTGGTCCCTTGCCTGTAGCACGTACTAAGTACTTGCTAGGTCAGACTGCATTTACCCTTTACGGCTAGCTCTACTCTCAGCCAGTCAGTCTGCAAACAGTCTTTTGATCTCTGTTCTTTGCATATCTCTAGAATCTAGTCCTTCTCTGTGGCAAGACTTTTGATACCTCTTGTCCATCTTCCTGTTTCGGCCTCAACATCCTTGAGAGGAAAATTTTGAAGACATAAAGGTGATCATGGGACTCCACAGTTCTTCATTCCTTTATTCATTCATGCCCCAAATATTTACAGAGCACACGTGGTGTGCCATGTACTGTGCTGGGAGCTGGGACTTCAGCAGCGAACTCCAAAATCCTGCACTTGCAGAGCTGGTATTCTAGTGCGGGAGACAAACACTCCATAAACAAGAAAAGGTGCAAGTGCCTCGGGAAAGAGAAAAGAAGCGAGGGAGGGGGGGTCTGGAGTGAATAAAGGGAAGGTCAGTGCTATCCTGGGCTGGTCAGGAAAGGCTTCTGGGCGAAGGTGACTTGGAGCGGGGACTGAGGGGGATGTGAGGGAGGGAGCCGGGTAGAAACCTGGGGGAAGAGCTCACCACCCAGAGGGAACAATTGAGCAAGGAAGGTCCTGTGGTGGCAAGGAGCACGCAAGCGCCAGTGTGGTTGGAACAGAGTGAGGGGAGGAGGTAGGAGGTGGAGGTGGGGGGAGAGCATGTTGGATGTTGTGGGCATTTTTAGGACCTTGGATTTTATTTTGAGTGAAATGAGGAATTTAAATGTTTCCAGCAGAGGAGGTTTTTTAATCTAATTTCAGTTTATTTTATTTTTTAAAGATTTTATTTATTTTTAGAGAGGGGAAGGGAGGGAGAAAGAGAGGGAGAGAAACATCAATGTGTGTTTGCCTCTTGCACACCCCCTACTGGGGACCTGGCCCACAACCCAGGCATGCACCCTGACTAGGAATCAAACTGGCAACCCATTGGTTTGCAGGCCAGCACTCAATCCACTGAGCCACACCAGCCAGGGCTAAGTTCAGTTTTTAAATGATTACTCTGGCTACTATGTTAGGTAGAATGCTGGGGAGGGTGGGATAAGGACTGAGGTAGGGACACCTGTTCAGAGGCTATCGCAGCAATCCAACAGAATGATGACAGCCACCTGGACAAAGGTGGATTCTGCAGCCAGAGAGAAGTGGCTGGATTCCATGTTTTTTTCAAGGCAGAGCCAACATGATCTGGAATGGAATGGGATGGATGTAAGGAGGGAGAGAGGGACTGTAAGTTTTAAAATATTATTTCTTTTAAGCACCTGAAGGAACGGCTTGTCCTAGGACTGTATTTGGCCCACGTTCCAGTGTGGTCACCTGCCTCTCCTTTTCTATGTTCTAGGCTGTATTCACACCCAGCTCCTCCATGTTCCACACACACTCTCTTTCTCATGCCCAAGTCTTTGCTCATAATAACCCCTCCTACTGGGTCACCAAAGTATGGCCATTTGTCCACCAGGTGACTTCTATTCCTCCTTCGAGACTTCTGAAACCACACACACATGCGTACACACTCCCTCACATGTATCCCACCATAGTTTTCTTGCTTCTTCGTATGTCTGATTTGATATCTTCTTTGAACAACTGGTTGGATGGCAGACATTGTAGTTTACCTTGTTGGGTAATAGACATTTCTGAAGTTTTATAAATATTCTTCACCAATGTTCTGAAGTGAAGTTTTTACTTAAGAATCACCTGATCCCTTTTGGGCCTTGTGTTTCAGATATTTCAGAGTGAATCAGAGCAGTGTTTAGTCCTGGGCTAATAATCACTTCTCATTATTGAAGTCAGACCCTTCCGTGGGCTCTCCCAGTGAGGTGAGGTCTTCCAGTCTGGCTGCTGGGAACGGACACTGTTCTCAGAGCTGTGCAAGAACCAGGCACTGCTCTCTCTGATCCACTTAGATAGCTCTCCTTCCCACCGTGCGTCCTTTCCCTCATGTATCTGTACTGATAAATCCTCTATTGAATATCTGCAGGTGATTCTCTGCAGACTCTGGGTTCTCTCTGTGTCCCTGGCACTCTACGCTGTGGACTCCGTCTGCTCGGGCTCCCGGACTTGCAGCTCTGTCCCTCAGTTCAGGGCGTCCAAAAGGATCCACCAGAGTTCTACTTGGCTACAACCCGGAAACCTCTCCAGACAGATAGTTGGGGCAATCAGAGGACTCCCCTCACTTGTCTGCTGATGACCATTGGGCCACACATTTCATCTGATTTGTTGCTTCAGGTGGGAGAGTAGATCCAGCCCCTGTTACTCCATCATGGCTGAGAGCAAAAGATCTGCCCTGAAAAAGCCTAAAAGGACCAGACTCAAGTAAGTTAGCTGCATTTCGGAACAAAGTGCAGAACTCTAAGAATACAACAAAATCTAGTGTCCAACAATGTAAAATTCACAATGTTTGGCACCTAATAAAAACCACCAAGCAGGAAAAGATGACCCACACCCAGGAGAAAAAAAACAACCAATATCGACAGGTCCAGAAATGAAAGAGGTAATGGAATTGACAGAGAAAGCACTTAAAACATCTAGTGCAAGTTGTGTGAGTATATGTGAGGCTGTAGATGAGAACATGAGCACAACGAGAACAGATGTGGAAGATACTTATTTAAAAAGAACCAGAGACTGGGCTCTCAGTGCTGGCGCTTCCACAGGCTGGCTGTGTGCCCCTGGAGGATGCCCCTCCCTTCTCTGGGCTGATGACATCCCTTCCGATACTCTGTTCCTCTCAGTCTCTTTCTCACCCCGTGAGTTGTACATCCGAAGTATCTGCAGGTCTCCCTCTCTACTTCCCAATAATCCCTCCCCCAGCCTAGGGCAAGTCTCCCTTCCTAACAAGCACCCCACCAGGCCTTTTTCTCCCACAAGACAGCCAGAGAGATTCTTCTAAAAAGAAAAACAAGCCATGCCTCTCTCTGGCCTTCCACTGCCCGTAGGACAAGTCCACTGTCCATCTTGCAGACTCCAGGCTCTTCTTGGCCTGGTCCCACCCAGCTTGCTCCCCTGAGCCTCTCCAGAAACCATTCTTCTCTTTCCCTCATGGCTTCCCCAGCTCCTTCATCTTGGAGCTTCCTGTCTGGGATGTATCACCCAGTGCTCTTTCTTCACTCGATTTCTGACCCGGCGAAGGCAGGTCCCAGGACTGGACCTGCGGCGCAGCGCCCCAGTCTGAACCGCACTCCGACGGCGTCGTGTGCACGCGACCCCTGCCCGTGGTCTTCCACCCCCACGTCTGAGGAACACGCCCCAGCCCGCCTGCCCTGCGGGGCTCTGCTCATTCAGTCCTTGTGAGACAGGACTCTTCCTATAAACAATCACTTTTTAAAATTTAGTCAAAGATTCCTTTAAGAATTTGATGAAAACCATGGGTTCTTTCCCCAGGAACAAAAATACACGAAGGTAGGGCAGTTACATGTAATGTCAGCGTGCTCAGGCTCTCTCCCCTCGCCTGGCACCATCGGTCTCGGCAGCCCTGGGGTCTGCAGAGAGGACCACGCATTCTCTGCTGCCTTTCCTGTTGGGCCCAATCCAGAAGCCTTTAAAGGCACGTATTGGAGGATTCCGCGTCAATGATATTTATGTACGTTTGAAACCCTGCATGGGGTTTGTTATTTAACAATGCAAGTACTAGCTTAAAATGGACACCCAACAGAAGACCCAGGGACTGGAAAAAGAAGTTAGGGAAGGGGCTTCCGGGAAAGGAAATCGCGGGCTCCTTGGTTCTGGTTGTGCCCCTATTAATCCGTGGTTCCTGCTGTTGGTTTGAACCACACCTTTTTATTTCCAGACGACTCTCACCATGATTGCAGGTCCTTCTACACTCTCATTCTGCTTCAGCTGAAGTTTTGAAGCACCATGTCAGAGTCTGCTCTATTTGCAAAGGGAAGCTCCTTTTCAAACATGAACTCATTTTCCTGGGAAAACTCTTCCTTTTGTAACTACCGGTCTTTTGGGAGGCTGTTTGAAGCTGAAGAGTGACATCTCTCGGTGGAGAGATGGAAGGGGCTTCTAATTAGGCCACTTTTAACTGGGACATGCAGGAGACCAAGTGTCCAAGGCTTCAGAGTGTCTGTGAAGCTCCTGAAGTTGTATGCAAAATTTGGGGTGTTAAATATGTATTTTTTTCTGGAAAAAAAAAAAAGGTCCAGAGCTTTCATCAGGTTCTCAAAGGCTTCTTTGCTCATAAGAGGTTCAAGTCCACTGGCTTGGGCCTATTTTCTTAAAGTGTTTCAGGTGGGACAAGACCTGCAGCAGAACCACTGGGTGGGGTGGCGGTGGGGGGGCTGGTTAAACACTCAGATGCGGGGGCCTCACCCCCAATCTTCTGAATCAGAATCTCTAGGACTATGACCTGGGACTCTGAATCTTTAACACCCTTCCCAGGTGATGGGGTTAGATTTCTGAATCATCTAGAAGGTTTCACTCGTTTCACATCACCTGTTAGAATAAGATCACATCAACCATGACAGACAGAGTAGCGTTTACGGTTCCCCAAACAGATCTGGGCTCCAATCCCAGCTCAGCTACTGGTTATGTAACCTTGGCAAATCAGGATCTTTCTGAACCTGAGTGCTTTGATTTGTAAGTATGGGGCTCAATAATTTACACGACTTGAGATAATATCACCTAATACATAGTAGGAGTCCAAAAAATATTATTTGCCATTCCCAGATCTCCTGAAACACTGAGCATTCCTAAAACTTTTCAGGTCCAATGCTGTTTTTTTTTTTAAAAAATGCTTCATGAAGCTTTTCTCTTAAAAATATTATCATTAAACAAAACAGATTCATCGTTTTCTACAATAACCCATCAGCCACGTGTAAAGGGGTTTGCTATGCCATCAAATATGCCTGAACTGTAAATTCTTTGTCTTAACAAAGGCTCTCCCACACTCAAGCTCTCCCCATGGACTCAGAGGGATTTTAGCAAATGGAGAGCATAAGTACCAGAATTTACCAACAAGGACAAAGTCTTTCATGCTCAATAGTCACATTACTGAGAATGTTTGATTTAATTGAGAATATTAGAAGGAGAAAAGAAGAAATTTCTAGCTTTGTAAATAAAACCAGTTGTAAAATTCTATGTTTGGTAAGAACCCCACTCGCCGACTCCCTACCCTTCCCCCATGCACACACACTGGACTGCTCTGAGCAAACCCCTTCCCTCTGGTGGTTTTGCAGCCCTATTGCACTACAGCTTCATGTTTTCCATCAGTGGAAAATCATTAACATGACTGTTCATTTTTACACACCAAAGGACATTTGTGGTGTTAGCAGAAAATCTAAAAGAAATACAATGCCTAAATAAAAACAACAAACTCTTCTAATTCATTTTCACATAGAGTAACCAAAATTCTCATTTGATTCAAGACTCTAAGAATTTGTCCCCAGTGACTTTTCGAGATTAGACATTTCAGTCACTAATGAAAAAATTGCTCGTTTTGAGCATAAGAAACAGTGGCTCTGTGAAGAACCAGTATTCAAGAAGTCTGCCTACCTTAGATTTGTCACCTTGTCATTAAATGTTCATCAAAATCTGTGAGTAGTACAAACACAGGTTGTGTATTCTTTGATTGCCATCTGCTGGTGGTTCTCCATACTAGAAAATAAAAATTCCCAGGAAGTTTGCAACAACCTGGCTATTGCTTGATTTTAAGTACTTGTTGCAACCCCCAAAAGAGTGATATTTTTAATGCCCATGATGATACACCACAGAGTCATGCCAAAGTTCCAGGGAGCATGCCTCTCAGGAACATACCTGTGCAGTTGTTTTCTGGGAAGATGATTGCACAGTTACTGAGCATCACTCTAGGGCCAGTTGATCTTTTTTTAAAAGTAAACTTTAGAGCAGTTTTAGGTTCACAGCAACATTGAGTGGAGAGTGCAGACAGTTCCTATATACCCCCTGCCTCCTCACATGCACAGGTTCCCCCAGTATCAACACCTGGCACCAGAGTGAAACATTTGTTACAGCTGATGAACCTACATGGATACATCGTGCTTGCCCAAAGTTCATAGTTTACAATGGGTTCGCTCTTGATGCTGTGTACTCTGTGGTTTTGGACAAATGGACAATGGTGTGTATTCAACATTATAGTATCATGGAGAATAGTTTCACTGCCCTAAAAATCCTCTGTGCTCTATCTGTTCATCCTCCCCTAGCCCCTGGCAGCCACTAATCTTCTACTGTCTCTATAGTCTTGCCTTTTATGTATCCTTTTCAGTTTCACTCAGTAATATGCATCTAGGTTTCCTCCATGTCTTTTCATGAATTGATAGCTCATTTCTTCTTCTCCTTCTTTTTCTCCTTCTCCTCCTTCCCTTCCTCTCTCCTCCTCCTCCTCCTCCCCCCTTCTTCTTCTTCTTCTTCTTCTTCTGAGAGAGAGAGAGAGAGAGAGAGAGAGAGAGAGAAAGAGAGAGAGGAAGGGAGGGAAAAAGAGAGGGAGAGAAACATCAATGTGTGGTTGCCTCTCGTGTGCCTCTCATTGGGGACCTGGCCCCCAAACCAGGCATGTGCCCTGACTGGGAATCGAACCGGTGACCCTTGGGTTCGCAGGCTGGCACTCAATCCACTGAACCACACCAGCCAGGGCTATAGCTCATTTCTTTTTAGCACTGAATTATAATTCATTGTCTGGATGCAACACAATTTATCCATTCACCTACTTAAAGACATCTTGGTTGCTTCCAAGTTTTGACAATTTATGAATAAGCTGCTATAAACATCTATGTGCAAGTTTTTGTGTGAAAAAAGTTTTCAGCTTACCCAGGTAAATATCAAGGGGTAGAATTGTTGAATGGCCTGGTAAGAATTGCTCATTCATAAGCAGACCAAGCGGGCAGCACTGCTGTGAACATCCACAACAAGAGTGTGGACAGTTAACCTTTAGTCCTTGTGTCCATGATGAGCTTCAGGTGCTCAGGAGTCCCACCCAAATCTTATACAAACTGGTGGGTAAAGCCCATTTCCTGGGGGATAGTCCATCATTTTCATCGGATGCTTAAAGAAACTTTAAAAGGAATATAGTTGGTGCCCACACAGGAGATGTGGTTCCCCTTGCCACAGGGCATCCATTATTGGAATTGGAATTAGAAAATAAGAAAACTAACATTCATTCATTGAGAACTTAACAGGTGCCTCATGCTTAGACAGCTCCCATGTTAAAAAACACACACACACATAATACTAAAAACATTTTTGAGGAACCACCAAGCTAACTAGTTTAGCTTTATTACTATATCTCTCATCTTTCAATAGTCCTGTGCTTAGATATTATTTCCAATGAATGACCCAGAATCAGTAATATTACATTGTCTATGCTCGTATGCTAATCATGGGACTGAAATCCAAATGCAGAGCTGTTTAGACTCCACTCCCCAATAAGAAAGACAATCACACAAAATTTTTTTCTTTGATGGCTTCTGTGAAGAAAGACAGAGTGGCGTTCCTACCTGTGGCAAGAAATGGGGCCCTAGCTCCCTCTCTGGGGGGAGACCTAGGGACCCCCACAAGAGAAGGAGAAAATGTCTGAGCTAAGTCTTGAAGGACAATAAAGACCTGGTTAGGCAGACAGTATGGGGCGGAGATGGAATTCCAAGGAAGGAAACAGCACAGGCTGTGGCACAGGAGATGAGAAAGGGGCCGATTCAAAGTTCCAAGCTTGTCTATGATGCTCATGAGGAATGAATCCTTGCCAGCTCTTGGGGCAACAGGACAAAGACCTATCATCTCTGGTCTTATAAAGAAGAAATTTCAGCCCTGGCCAGTTGGAGCATTGTCCTGTACACCAAAAGGTTGCAGGTTCAATTCCTGGTCAATTCCAGGGAACATAGCGGGTTTGATCCCTATTTGGGGGTGTACAAGAGGCAATTGATTAATGTTTCTCTCTCATGTTGATGTCTCTCTCTCTTTCATTCTCTCTCTCCCTCCCTTCCTCTCTCTCTGAAAAAAAAATTGATAAACGTATCTTCTTCTCCAGGTGAGGATTTAAAAAAGAAGAAATTTCAAAAGTGGATTCAAAATAAATAAACTGAACTTTATCAAAGTCAACCCATAGAATGAGAGGAAATACTTGTAAGTCACATACAGGTATCTGATATGGGACTTTTACCAAATTTATATAAAGAACTTTTACAAGTCAACAATAAAAAAATAAATAACCCATTTGTAAAAAGGGCAAAAGAGTTGGATAGACATGTCTCTAAAGAGGACGTTTGGTGGCTGATATGCATAGAACAAGATGATCAAATCATTAGTCATTAGGGACATGACAATCAAAACTATAATTAGTTACCAGCTCATGCCCACTAGGATGGCTAAATAAAAAAGACAAACAATGAACAAATGTCGATGAAGATGTGAAGAAATTGTGACCCTCATACATTGCTGAAAGGATTGTAAATGGTACAGACACTTTGAGAAAACAGTTTGGCAATTCCTCAAAATATTAAAGAGTATTTATATGACCCAGCGATTCTACTCCTAGGTCTATATCCAAGAGACTGAAAACACACACCCACACAAAAACCTGTCCACGAGTGCCACAGGAGCGTTCAGTGAAATGGTAGAAACAACCCACATGTCCGTCAGCTGATGACTGGGCGAACACAATGTGCAATGTCCATATCCTGGAATATCACTGAGTCAGAAACAGGAATGAAGTACTGATACATGTTGCACCATGTATGAACCTTGAATTGAAAGCAGCTAGTCACAAAAGGCCACATGTTATATGATTCTATGTTTATGACATATCTATCAAAAGCAAATCTATATAGACAGAAAATAAGTTAATGGGCTTTGTGAGTCTTCTTCCTGACCTGCCGGTCTTGGTATTTGTGCCTCAGAGCTGCCGACAGCAAGACGTCTTCAGGAAATGCTGACACTGGGCACCCTGCTCCCAGCTTCAAAGCTCCAGCTGTTGTGCCAGATGGTCAGTTCAAAGGTATCAGCCTCTCTGACCACAGAGGAAAATACGTGGTGCTCTTTCACCTTCTTGACATTACCTCTGTTTGCCCCACAGAAATCATTGCTTTCAGTGATAGGGTGGAAAAATTTAAGAAACTCAACTGCCAAGTGATTGGTGCTTCTGTGGGTTCTCACTTGTGTCACGGGGCATGGATCAACACACCCAGGAAAGAAGGAGGACTGGGACCCACGAACATTCCCTTGGCGTCAGACCCCTCACGCACCATTGCTCGGGACTATGGGGGCCTAAAGGCTGAAAGCATCTCATTCGTGGGCCTCTTTGTCATTGATGAAAAAGGTATCCTCCGCCAGATCACCTTAAACGACCTTACTATCATCCGCTCGGTGGACGAGACTCTGAGAGTAGTTCAGGCTTTCCAGTTCACTGACAAACATGGGGAAGTGTGCCCAGCTGGCTGGACAGCTGGCAGTGATACCATGAAGCCTGACGCCCACAAGAGCAAAGAATGTTTCTCTAAGCAGAAGTGAGCGCTGGGCCATTATAGGGTCATGGCGGCAGTGTAGAGCCATGAGAACAAAACCTCTCTTTTGCTATCATCATGCTTAAAACACAAGATCTCAGATTTAGGCCAGATGTGGTCTGGGATGGGACAGGCCTTTTCTGCAGGGTTTAGGGAGGCCAGCTTTTGAGGAAATGGCCTGAACTTATGGAGCAGGCCAGCTCAGGTGTATAGTAGTGGGGCACCACCTTTTATGTTTTGTAATTTCTATTAAATTCGAACTGAGGGAAAAAAGGAAAGTGAGTTAGTGGCTGCCACAGGTAGAGGGAGATGAGGGAGAGTGAGGAGTGACTGGTACTGGGTATTGGGTTTTCGGGTTCTGAGATTAGATAATGGTGATGGTTGCACAACTCTGTGAATATACTAAAACCCATAGAATTGTACACTTTAATAGGATGAATTTTACAGTGCGTGGATTATATCTCAATATACCTGTTGCTTAGAAAAAAAAAGAAAGAAAGGCAGGAGTCATTCCTGAGGTAGAGGTGTCCTAGGCATGCAGCTGTATCAGAACAGGCAAAGCAAGGGCGGGACCTTAGGTGACGACCGCAGTAACAATTCTAATGGCTAACTTCGTTCACTTCGCAGATATTTATTGAGTTCCCACTATGGTCTAGATGCTGGGGATGGAGAGAAACAAGACAGACAAAACCTCTGTCTTCTTGGAGATTCTGTTCTAATGAGGGAGATAAGCAGTAAGTGAGTTAGTTAATATATCACATAGAGCAGTTACTCAGGAAAATAAAGAAGGACAGGGCCTAGAAAGGGGTGGTAGAAGGAGGCACTATATCAGACAGAGAGGCCTGGGAAGGCCTTTAGGAGGTGACATTTGCATAGAGACCTGAACAAAGTGAGTTTTGTTGTGCATTTCTTTCCCCTCCCTGCATCTGACGAGTCAGTGTTGGCCGGAGGGGCCCACATCAATGTGCCCTCAGTGGACTGTAAATGACGGCTGGTGCTGCAACATCTTGGCTGGCTATCAATCAGCCAGAGGGTGGCAGCTCTGAGTCTGGCCAATCTGAGTGAGCCATGAGAGCTGGGGCCCCTACTGTGACCATAGTCATTCACCCTTCGGCAGCCCAGCAACAAAGCAGGCCCCCACCCCAGGTGCTTGCCCTGGCCCAGGTGGCCATGGATGCTCTTCCTTGTTTCTGAAGTTGCTCAGCTCTAATCTTTGCTGGGGGTGGGATTGCTACAACTTCAGCAAAACAGAGAGGTCAAACTTCTAATATTCTACCTTTTCAATGAAGAGTCTCAGCCAGATGCCAACTGCAGCCCTGAGGTAATGACTAGGGGGTTTCACCACTTATCTTCCCAGTTGCAGTGAACCATGAACATTCCTAGTGGCATCTGCATCCCTTCCGAAGTTTGGGAACCTCCCACCTTTTGAGGCAGCCTGTCTGCAAGCAGGCGGTGGCTGTGACCCAGGCTCCACCACCTGGACACACCAATACATGCTTAAACTTCTCTATGCAAATGCAAAAATCCCATGACACGGTTTATTTCCCATTATCTATATCTTCCGATGTTTTATAGTGTGAACCAGCAAAAATGAGGAGAAACAAGGGAAAGGGGAAAAGGTAAAAGACTCACTGAAACTTGTTTTAAATGGATGATCCTGACCAGGGTTTTGCTCAAGTTAAAGCAGAAAATCCAGTTTCTGAGATCATAATAATGCAAATTCACCTAGCACCTATGGTAAGGGAACAGAACATAGAAAATGTGACAAGGTTTAAAACAATTATAAAATGGCACATCACAGAATTCAGTGTGACCGTATAATTGAATATTCACTCATTCAACAAACAGTTTAATGTATTCCTTCATGCCAGGCACTATCCCAGGTACCAGGGCACCACCATAAATAAAACAAGACTCTAATTTTGTGGAGTTTCATTCTAATGGGGGAAGAAACTCGATAAATAAACAAATTAACATAGAATATATCACCTGGTGACAAATGCTGTGATGAAAAATAAGAGCAGATAAGGAGATAGAAAAATGAGGGAGGGTGCTACATTACACAGAGACCAGGAAAGGACTCTCCAAAGAAGTTACATTTGAGAAGAGACCTGGAGGAAGAGACCAAGGGCTGAGGGAAGGACATTCTAGGCAGAGGGACTCACTGTGTGCAAAGGCCCCAAGAACAATAAGGAGGCCAATGTGGCCAGAGTGATGTAATGAAGGGAGGTGGTAGCAATGGACTTAGAGAGGTAGGGGTAGGAAGATGACTTAAGACATTGTAGATCCAATCCCTTGGCTTTTGCTCTGAGTGAGATACGAAGACTGGAGAATTTTGAGCAAAGTTACATAATCTAGCTTTATTCATTTTTTAAAATTTATTGATTTGAGAAGGAGAGAGAGAAGCATTGATTTGTTTTCCTACTTATTTATGCATTCCTTGGTTGACTATTGTATGTGCCCTGACTGGAGATCAAACTGTCAACTTTGGCATACATATCAGGAGGATGCTCTAACCAACTGGGATACCCAGCCAGGGCTCTCCTGGGCTTTAGAAGCAACACACATATGCACACACACACAAACTCTGAATAAGGTCTATGGATTGTATTCGGGTCAATTTTCTGATTTTGAGATTGTACTATAGTTACATAAGACATTACCATTGGTGGGACATAAACTACAGCATAGGAAATATAGTTAATAATATTGAAATAACTATGTGTGCTGCTGGTGCAGTTACTTGAAATATTGGTATCACTTTGTAAAGTATATGATTGTCTAACCACTATGCTGTGCACCTGAAACTAAAACAAAATAATGTTGAATGTAAACTGTAATTGAAAAAAATAGAGGCCCTGGCTGGGTAGCTCAGTTGGTTAGTGCATTATCCCAATGTGCCAAGGTTAATGGTTTGATCCCCAGTCAGAGCACATACCAGAATCAACCCAATGAATGTATAAATAATTTTATTAACCAATGTAACCACCATTAAATTCAATTTAAAAAATAGAAAAGGAAGAGTGGGGGAGGCAATAAAGACAGAATAGCTCTTTTTTCTAAGAAGGGAGACTTCAAACCTCCATTTGATTTTTCTCTTAAAAAACAATAAATAAATAAAACAAATCAATGACTTTCTTCTTCTCTTCCCTTCTCTCTCTTTCTCTTTAAAATCAATCAATTAAATTTTTTTAATATCTATTAATGGTAATAATAGATATTACCATCAGAGGAGACCAAGGGAAGGGTACATGGATCACCTTTATACTATTTTTGCAACTTCTTATCAATCTGTAACTATGTCAAAATAAAATGTTAAAAGGAGGAAGAGGAGGAGACAGGAACAGATGTGAGGCACTGCGAAGGTGGGAAGGAAGGACTGGAAGAGAGAGTGGGGCAGGGTGTGAAGTGCAGGAGTCGGCCAAATGAGGTACATGTGTCTTTCTGGGCACATACGTTTTGTATTAGATGTTAAGAAGGTTTGGTTAAAACCATTCCCACCCCATCTTTTTAGGCATTCAAAGAAGATTACAATGTCTCCCATCATGTACTCCTTTAATAAAGCTCACTTTCAAGAAAATATTGTTAATGTATCCTGGATACATTATTGTTAATGTATTGTTGCTATTATTAGCATAGCAACAATGCATTATTATAGTGTATTGTTTGTTAACAATAAAACCTTGTTAATTGCCTGTAACCTGGAAGCTGCACTTAAAAGCATTTTCCCACTTGTTATTCCCAGTCACAGCCAGACTGGACTTCATGCTGTTTTCCACATGTGCTCTAGATGATCCCACCTGAAATTTTTTTTTTTAATTTCTATTTAAGTTTCAACACCTAACTCAATTGCCATCTCTTTCTTGAGGCTTTCTGATTCTCTCAGCCAAAGGAAATGACCCTTTCCTATAAACTTGCAAATAATTTTATAGTTTTATATCTCTTATAACATTTATCAATCCCTTCTTTGGGTTTTGTCACTTATTGAAATAATTTATTCTCCTCATTAGATTGTACAAGAGTTTCTGGAGGTCAAAGACTGTCTTAAATGTTCTTGTATTCCCGACACTGATTAATAGTGTGTGTGAGCTCAGTGAATGTTTAATGTTGAATGACTGGATTTCTTCTCTAAAATAATCTGTATGTTTGGAGGTTGGGAGTTACATTCATTCTGGAGTTGGTGATATTCTTATGTGGTTTATAGTTATTTCATGTATAGTTATTACCACCTGCAAGAATACGCCTTCTACTTCTTCCCTCTGTGGCAAACTCAGCCTACACTGAAACATGAAGGAGTGATGCATCCTGATTCACCACATGAATACGCCTCACTAGGCTTGGCACCTGAAGTATGTAGGGAGCGGAGAAGAAATGTTGTTTGAAATGCATGGACTAAGAAATAGAAAATTCTTCTATTCATTAGATGTTAAAATTCTAAGCAGAAGGTTTGGTTCTCATTGAGCCTTGTCAAAAAGGAAAATCTCTTTCAGTAGGAATATACTCAATATGCAGGGTATACAATTACAAATGTATCATACTTAAAAAAAATTGGATGAAAATCATCCAAAATGGAGTTTATCAGAATTCTTCTGTGTATAAAACATAAATTTGTAGCAGTTTACAATGATTATATTAACTTTTTTTAGTAGACCTTATTTTTTAGAGCAGATTTCGGTTCACAGAAAAATGAAGTGGAAGGTACAGAGATTTCTCCTGTACTCCCCTCCCACTCATGCCTAGACCCCCCATTGTCAATGTCTCCCACCAGAGAGGTACATGCATTATAACCGAAGAACCCATGTTGACGCGTCATTATCACCCACAGTCCATAGTAAATATTAACTTTTGTACTTAATTTTATATTCTTTTTCTTAATTAGGGGCCCTCAATTTTATAAGTTTCAGGACCCAGAAATACTGGCTTTTCAACAAGACGGCGTAGTTTTTCCTGAAGTTCTAATCCTACCGAGGATTTTTTTCCTTCTTACTCAAATATCTATACCTTTGA